GGAGTCATTGGTACGTTATTTCTGGTCACCAGTTTTTTCTCTAGCGCTCTCCATCCTCTCCCAGCCATAATATCAAAAAGAAGTAAGTTTTCCAAAATAAAGCAAAAGTTATACGTTTTAATTCCGCTTCGCATATTTTAGCAGCTTTTGCGTTTGCTTAACTTCTTATGTGCTTGGTTTGGCTCAAAGTCTCTTTATTTTCACTTTAAAACCGTTTTTTACTGTTTACTCCTATGGGGGGGGGGATTGAAATCTTCTCCCCCCGCACTTCAAACTTAGGCGCTTCCAATTACTACCAAGGCTCCATTCACTTATTTTTCACCTGAGCTTTGCTTAACTCACAGTTTGTAGCCTTGGAGATCTTTTGGAAGTCTTTTTCACAAGTTTGATCGTGATCACTTGTTCCGGCAGTCGTCTCTGGGCGCCATGCTGGCTCCGTGGCGACGGTACCTATCGGGGAAGAAGGTGAGCCTCAATTCCTCGGGCGTCCCCTTGGAAGAGGCTCTCATCTGCTCCCCAGGCTGGGGGTCTCCTACAAAGACCCGGGGGGGGGGCCCGGGACAAACTCGAACCCCTCCCGCTGGGGGTCTCCTACAAAGACCCAGGGGGGGGGTCCGGGACAAACTCAAACTCCTCCCGTCAGCCGGGTCTCGGCGCGTCTCCATCTGAGCAAGACGAGGTGCGTCCGAGTGGCAAAACGCTTAAACCAGAAGTCCCTTTTAAAATATTTATTGATGATCTCTTTTTGGTATTTAATAATAATGAGAGATTGGTTGATTTTTGTTCCTGGGTTACATGAAACCATACTGTCAAGAAGAAAAGAGATTAGTGAATTAATTGCCACTTCATTGTGCCTTCTTTGATGCTAATGGACATTTGGCTGTATCCTTTCTTTCTTCAGCCACTCATGTCGGCATTACAGTGATAATAGGAAACGTACGTGTATTATGTAACTTTGATGATGTACTTTATAGCTTACTTGAAGAATTCTATGCATTCTTTATGCCTTATATGTTGTTATGAAGATACTACTTTCTTATAAATATTCAATTTATATTTTATTGTTCTTGTTACTTTGGAATGTTATTTTGTGCCTTTGGTGGGGTTGTACTTCCAGTATTTCTGATCATTGGCTCCTCCCATCCTTGTTTGTTTTTTACTCTTAACACGGACCCAGCAGGGTAAGTCCTGCACCTGCTTCCTTCCCTTTGCAATTTAAAAAAAATCTGAAAGGCCTATGGGGTTAGCTGGAGTATGTCTCATCCCTTTGAAAGGATGCTAGCTTGCTTTCTCTCTTTCTGTTCCCTAAAACATTCTGGAAATTCTTGGAGATAACTTTTTATTACTCCCAGAATTCTAGGGAGATAACTTTTTAATGTGGCGTCAGTGGCTACAGGATATTGTAGATAGATACGTGCAATTCAGTATTCCTTTATTAGAGTGGCATATTTTAAAGTAATTCACATGCTTGAACCACTATAGTAGCATTTTATTGAATGTGTGAGGTAGGTCAAGGACAGATTATCTGTAGTACATTATCAGTACAGTTCTATGCATTTTACTTAGCAAATCAATGGGCTTAGACTGGAATAACTCTCTTTAGCATTGCACTGTTAGTTAAGTGTTCTCGTGTTTGCTAAAAATCAGAATAGTTTGTTAGTGTTTTAGATTAGCGTGACTGAAATGTTTATTCATTAGGTACACATTTCCTATGATGATGTTGGAATGATATGATAGCTTGGATGCTTACTTTGGTGTAGCAATTGTATGAATAGCTTTCAATGGGAGGTGTCTACAAGTTCCATCCTAAGCAGAGTGTACCCTTCTAATCCTATTGACTTCAGTGGACAGAGGAGTATACAGCTGTTTAGGATTGCAATGTAGTTACTTCAGTAGATTTTAATCTCTGTCATATTAGGCAATTTCATTTCTCCCTGAGAGTTTACAGATATGGCCACTTACTGGTGTTCCTTCAAACCAAAAATTGATGAAAGTATTAAAACTACATCCCTTTAGGCCATTGGTTTGAAGTTCTGTCATCTGCTCTGCGGTTTTTGCTGTTTGGTCACTCACTGCATTTTGTTTGACTAATTTCTACTTCTTTTCAAATCTTTAAGGGCATTGCACCAAAATTAGAGTTTTCCACAAGGACAACTATTACTGAACTTCCACTTCAGCCCAGAAGATGGTATTGTGTAAGTATTTTTTATCTAATTGACACAGATATGGAGGGAAATTGTTTGATCAAATCCAGATCTCACTGTACCTCATGAAACCAGTTCATTTAGTATGACACAGCATTCATACTAATATTGTATCCAGGAAGATTTCTTAAATGTTGCTCAGCTTATTAACTACCCCAAATAGAACTCCATATTTGAAAAACTGTCATATGTTTAATGCCTTTAGAAAAGGAGCTGATGGGAAAAGAGATTTTTGGCTTCTAGGACTTGAGTCCTGTTTTGATGAGTGTTCTGTATTACATGCCATTGGTTCAGCAGTTTTCCTATACAGTTGTTCTGCCATTTTCTCAGTTTTATCTGAAATAATATGAAGTCATCTATCCATCATTCAGGCCCCAGGATCCAGGAGCCATGTTTTCACACATCTGTACTGATGTAGACAAAGACTCCAGTCCAACTGTTGACATGTACATTATTCATAGTAACTGGCAGCCTAGATTTGCATGCCTTTTCACATAAAAAGGTGGATTCCCCTTTGTCCTTGTTTGTAAGGGCCAACTTGATGTGATATAGCTCTACAAAACAAAGTCTAGGTTCCTCTGACCCAACTCACATACTCTTTACAATCAGGTGTCAGTTTCCGGGAGCTAAATTGCCAAGAACAAAGGGACCTGATTAAGATAAGGACCATGATGTTGCGGGGGGGGGGAGCTCCAGTGTCCTCCCCACACCATCTTCCTCACCTGTGTTGAGGGGATGCATGTATCCTAAGTCAGTTTTTTTGGGTCACAGCTTTACTATTTTATCATAAAATTTTAATAAAGATGCACCAAGGGCTTGGATGAGCATTGTGATGCAGATAGGCATCCACAGTTGTGAGAAGGACAATTTATGAAAACAAATCTCGTTTTTCTGGATTGAGGCAAAAATGATTAGGATTGTCAACTGATTAATTAATTAAGCCCTTTTATCCTTGAGTCATTCAATTAAGTTTGAATATGAATTAAACATGGCCTAACTGAGTAGTAGCATTTGTTTATTGTAAAGCATCACCTCAACATTGTACCTGTCTTGGAAATGTGACAGTTTGCAAATACATTTTTGCATTAAAAGAACAGGCCAAGTTAAGTAATTCCTTAGAGATCATCCTTCTCATGATGATATAGATAAGCTTGATAGTCTGTAGCTTGGAGGCTTCTATTCTGGAGGTGTACAGATGTCCGTTTAATACTCTTTGGGTCCTAAAATGGGCATTCAAACCTCATTACCTTCCTCTTGGGACTCAGTCTTACAATTTGCTGAGTATCTTTCATGGAGATGCCTTGCTTTCAGCTTCCATGGAAAATGAGCTCGCTGAAATCTGCTTTCAAGCATAGCCTCTTAGAGAACAATGTCATGGATATGGGATTATCAATGTTTGATAAAATGGCTACAGAAAGAGAGAAATTGTTTTCAATTTATTTTTCTGTGGGACACACTCTCTCTTTTATAGAAACAAACATTTTCACAATTTAAAGTGAACGTTCCCCATAGGGGAAAAAAATGTTCTGTTATATGTGCAAATCCCAGAAGTTTGATCCCCTGGACACATCTGTAGGTGTTTTTTTTTTTAAAGGAAATAGACTCTGATTATCATGCTCTGCTGTTGACTTCTGAACAAGCTTTAACCAGTGCTAGTCATGACTGTTCTTTTGATTAACAGGGAGAATTGTGGGGTATACACTGTACAGTTGGCTTCATTCTACTGAGATGGGGGTGCTGTTCATTGAAGATGTTACAAGATGATATATTTATAATGGGAATTTATATTTATAAGGGAAATTTATTGTGTTTTTAATGTTTTTAATGTTTTAATGTGTTTTTAATGTATTTCATGATTGTTAGCCACTTTGGCTATTTTGATGGTAAGACAAGCTGAAAACCTTTGCAATGAAATAAATATTTCCCATTCTTTGAAGTGTGAGTTGTGGAGCTAGAGTACGGCTTATTTGCTCTGGTGCCTGTGTTGTCTTCCATAGCTAAGTCTCCAAATGGCAAGTGTCCATATTACTATGTTTTTCAGGACAGAAGTAAAACCAAGGTACGAAGGGTTGCCTCTGCATCGCCTCAACGATGGAGCATCTCACCAGTACGATGTAGAGCAACAAGGAGGAATAGCCTCTGCAAGAGATTTACAAGATCCTTAAGATCCCGTTCTCCATCTCCAAGCCCAGCAAAACACTTCCATGAGTTTGGCAGAGACAATCAGCAGCAACTCTCTCCTTCGAGCCTGAGGTCTGTGAAGTTCACAGCAGAGTCAGATCCCAGGCCACCTTTTGTAGTTAGACATGTAAGTCCTGAGGGTGACAGTAACTCCTAGGAATTGCTCAGGGAAACAAACTGTGTATTCAGCATTTTTCCTTCTAGTAAAAAGTGATCAGAATATCTTGGCGGAATAGTGTGATGTAGGGAGTCCAGGGCACCACTGTAGTGGGAAATCGCCTGCTCCTGGCATGAGACCAGAATGAAAAAAGATACAGTAAAGCAAAAGGCAGAGAAAACACAAAATCAGTATTTGATGCAATATTCAAATAGTGACCAATTCACTCATGTGCACAAAGCACACATAGGCATAATTATTACAATCACATCCCACTCACAGTGAAAAATCATAATAAACCTCAAAGACCAGATAGATGACCAAATTTAAAACTTGCTAAAAAAAGACTTTAAAACCAATAAATGAATAAATAAAAATCATAATTTATTTTTTAAAAATTACCTATACATGGAATATGTTATGAACTCCTTATAAAATAACACCTGGCTTCAATACTATCATTTACATTTGGATATCATATTGAAACACAAAGCCTATACAGCTTAACCAACAAATCTTGTTCCCCTTTGAACTTTGAGATGCCCCTCATGGTAGGCCAAATGTTCCCATACCTATCTGGTATACAAGCACCGCAACAGCGTAGAGCCTTTTCTCTAGCAAGATTCAATGTAATATCATCAGCAATCTTGCATGGGAGATATAATAACATAGTATATGCAGATAGACTTTGCCATTGCAACTCTGGATGCATTGAGACTGTTTCGTATATTTGTTTGCATTGTCAATTGTATGTGGATATGCGTTCTAGATATTTAAATCCTATCTTAGCCAACATGACAAACCTTCCTGACGCTTTAAAAGTGCACCGTCTTCTAAATGACTCTGTTCCAGAAATATCAACGAATGTAGCCATGTTTTTATAATTAGCGATAAAGCTATGCCAGGAAAACTACCAAATGAGTAATTGTTTTATGTAATATTATGCAATATTATGTAGTCAGTAAAATGCTAGCTTTATGTGTATGGTTCTTTATGGTTTTATGGTTTTATAAATATATTTGTTTTTATAGTAATCCTCTTTTAAGGTATTTTTATGCCAATAAAGGCTAACTGAACTGAAACTATGACAGACCCCAGCCACTTCCCTCCCTCAGAGTCAAGATTTTCCCTCCGTTTCCGCATTCACTGACTGAGCAGTCCTGGTATCGTGTTTATTCTTCCCTTGAAGAAACCTTGTCTGTCCCACCCTGTCAGTAAGGTATATTTTGGCTATTTGCTAAGCTCAGGAATTTGAAGGAAGGGACAGGTTCACCCTTTAACTTAAACTCTTGAAAATGGCACTTAAGATGATTTAAAATTCAAAAATAACACAAGGTTTTAACATCAAAGGGAAAAGTCAGGTGTAACCAGGGGTTGAAATTACTGAGGTAAAACTATTGCAAGTACAGACTTTTGTTTTTATATGTCAAGTTAATGAGAGGTTCTTAAATTAAGGCCTTTTAAGGTCTCTAAAGGCAGTTCCTAATCACACCAGACCAGGGATCTCTGTACTCCTCAGAGATAACTCTCCTGGTTTGACTGGGTAGGGATTCTTCTTCGCTCTCTAGATTTATCCCCTTTCCTTTGGTCTGATGGGAGTCTTATTCTACTACCCAAACCTGCTTCCCAAATCTCCCCCCAGTTCTCTGTGTTCAAACTGCTCTCAGCTAATTTGCTGAATTCCGACTGTATTCAGTCACAGCTGAAATCTGACTTTGTCAGCACTAAACCCTTTTCTATCAGGGTTAGTCTCAAGATGGTCTCGGTACAAGTCTCTTCTCAGTCAAGGCAGGAATCTGCTGACTCTCCTCAGCATCCAGCTTTCTCAAGACTTTTTTTTTTTGCTTAGCTGATGCCAACCAATGAGATTGCTTAGAGCAGCATGTCACTCAAGGCTCTCTGGCTCAGTGAAGAATTAACTCTTCACAATCCTTTAGTTGTTGGTACAGCACTTCTAAACCTCTTAAAAAGTGCAGTCTGTCACACATACATTATCCAAAAGACACAAAAATATAAAACCAAAAAATATATAGAACCATATATCCCTTCTCACCTCTTCAAAATGGCAATACCAGTACACACATGTGACTATGCCACCATGGCACAGTTCTTTGTAGCATCCCAAAACAGCATCCCGCTTGGGAATGAGTGCTATAATGGCTTTATTTGAAAATATATTTTCAGCTAATTAGAGGTTTTTAATTAATTGTTTTGTTCTTATCTGGCAAAGAAAACACATTAGGGAATGCAAAAAATACAAAGAAAAATTGAATTTTTTAAAAATACATGTCACAAATCACAAATATGATCTCCTCATGCTTGTGGGCTGAAGGCCTGCCCCCCCATCCCACTGGGACCACCCAAACAGGGGGGCCACCCTCCAGTCCAAAGAGAGGGGTGAACCAGAGGCACAAGGAAGGAGGGCTCACTATGGCAAGGCATGCACCTTCCCAGTCCACCCTCACCATGGTGAAGGAAGGAATGCACCCACCTAGCCCAGCCTTACTGTGGTGAGAGATGGGACATGACTGTCTAGTTAGGCCTCACCACAGTCTTACACTGCAAAGCCACACCTGATCCAGTGAAGGATGGGACAGGCAGGTACTGCCTCCCTCCTTTGGGAAGTGGTGCTGAGGGAGGTTCGGGGTATGGCTCTTTTCCATGGCCTTTTCTCTCCTCATTCTGCCTCTGGTTCTCACTCAGATGTAATTTCTATTGCATCCAAGATTCTACCTTGATATTATTTCTTAACTTTTAGGTAGACCCTTCAAAATCATTTGTTGAACAAACTCCATCACGAGTACCGCATCAAAATGCAAGACGAAACATGAGTCCAGAAAGGAATTCTCACAAATCGCAGTTGAAACGAGGTACGTCATGATCTATACATGATGACTAAAATGTAACATATTGTAATGATACTGATAAATGGTAACATGTAATGAAAAGATCACTGATGATACCACAGGATCCTGTTGCTTTTTATAATCTGTGGATTTAATTTTGTTATCCTTCAGTTTAACATTTTATGTCTTCTGCGCCTTTCATCTATGTAGAACGCAAAATACTATTTGAGATTAAAGCAAAGTGTACAATATAACTTGGAAATAAATTCCAGAGACCAAAATTTGAGTCAGGATTACTTTAAAACCAACAAAATTTTCCAGGGTACACGCTTTTGTGAGTCAAACCTCACTTTGTCAGACACAAATAGAAAGAGCTGCATTAGTCTCTTGCAGCAAAACCAAACAGGAGTCTTACGGCACCTTAAAGATTAACAGTGTTTAATTCTAGCATAAACTTTCATGGTCTAGAGCAGGGGTGTCAAACTCATTTGTTATGAGGGCCAGATCTGACACAAATGAGATCTTGTTGGGCCAGGCCATGTGTGTCATAAGATGTAATGCCAGATAGTGGAGCTATAATCTTTATGAAGGACACAAACACAATTTTTTTTTACTTAAAATAAAAACATGCTTAAAATATTAGCTCTGTAAGCTGCAAACCTACTTTTGATTTATAGACATTCACCACAGAAATCTCACGCTCAGAGTTCTAGGACCCAGGTTAAAACATGAAATGGCTGAGTGATTAAGAGAGTCTGGCGAAGCAAGCTATGATGCAGCAGCAGCAGCAGAACTGGAAGCAGGAGATGGCCAGTTCCACTGCGGGCCTGATGGAAGCCCTCCGGGGGGCTTGATCTGGCCCCCGGGCTGCATGTTTGACACCCCTTGTCTAGAGCCCACTTAATCAGATACATATATTGGAACCTTGGTTGGCAGATACATATACACATACGGAATGCAGAAATAAGTTGTGTACAGCAGGTCATGAAGTGGAAGACGTACAGGGTGTGAAATTATTAATACTTAATCAAGGAAAGTTCAATGATAATTTACAACAGCTATATTTGGAAATAATGCCCTCTCTTTTTTGCTTTTCTCCTTAACACCTGCAATGTCTGTGGAACTCCCAGTATTTATTCAAGTTTCAGGAAATGCAATCACATTTTTACATTCATTCTGATTGAACAGTTTCACACCAGAATTTTCCTTTGAAGTTCTATTGTTGAAGAATAGTGACTTCTGAGTCAGCAACAGAGAGCCTGAAATGTTCTCTCAATGTTTCCATTGCTTTGTCAGAGTTTTGCCCATTTATAATTTGAGTAGAAACTTATGTTTGCATTATGCAGATAGTAGAAGAGCACTGATGACAGATAATGGCATATATCACACTGGAGAATGAACTAGTGAATCAGCTGTTGGTGTTACGGATCATGTATATTTGGATTCGTGACACTGTCGCCTGAGTGGGTATGGGGACAGAGTTAGCATCTGGGTTTGTTGTTTGTTGTGATAGGTGGCTTGTTGTTGCTGGTAAGAAGCTTAAGGTGCTGCCTATAAATCAGAAACAGTCTACTGCACAAAGCCTGCCTATAAGGAAAAAAAAATCACTGTTCCAGATTAACTGTAGATAATTGACTGGTCACTGACCACTGCGTTGACCAGTTTGAGCTGGAAGCTTCAGGTGACATCCACTGCTGTTCTGTTGTTTTCTCTTTGGGGCCTATCTTGTAGCTGGCTACTCCTGAGTGCCTGATCAATCTGTTTCTTCATTCTGTTGGATAGGTATTGTAATCTTGTGAATTTCTAATCTAAATACTTTTGCTGGAAATTAGAGAATCTCTCCAGATAGTAGTTTATTAATGAATTACATGCACATTGTTTCTTAGTTGTGGAAGAAACTCATACATCTTTCTCAAAGTGCTACTGATGTGGTGATGTCACATTCTCAAGCTACAACATTCCATCCTTGGGAAAAATACTGTTATTCTCTGTCCCTCCAGCTAGTGCTTCCTGTAATTCTGAATGCTATGTGTATCACTTCCATGAGTGTCAAAGACAACTGTTGGACAGCGAAGAAAAATTCCCTTTCTGATGCCTGCACCCTTTTGAAAACATCAGGGGGGGATGTTTATAGTATCTTATTTGATATCCTAAGCAATTTATAGGCAGGTGCAGGAAGGTTCAGGTGGCCCATTGAACAAAGCAATAAAAAGTGGCAAGCACAGGGAAGGCTCCTTTACAGCAATGTGGTGAACTTTTTCCATCTTTCCCCCTTAATTTTCTCCTCTTTATTTAGCTCATTGGAGGCTAAGTGTACTCCAGCAATAAAATACATGTCCCACATGAAGTATTAACAAATTTAAAACAACAATTGTGACTAAGCATTCTCACCTCAGCATGGCTGTTTCGGCGACGGCAAGGGTAATGAAACCATGCATCATGAGGGAATTCAATATTTATTATTTTCATTTTTCACCTTTCCACTGAAGAACTCCAACATGGTACTCCCTCCACCCATTTTATCTACTGAAACTCTGTGAGGTAGGTTAGGCTGGGAGAGTGACTGGCCCAAAGACTCTGAGGGAGTTTCTAACCACTACACCGTACTTGTGTTGCTGGTGCGGCACTGGGGCTAGCACTAACAATAAAATGAAATGATGAGATCCTTTTCATTGTCTGGAAAAGTCCAAAGTTATTTTAAAAAGTGATGCCCAAAGAACTCACCACTTTGAAGAATGGATTTGAGTTCTTTAAGGAAAGCACTCTTCAAAAGCCACAGTACAGTGCTTGTTGAAACGTCAGATGACTCTGCACTGGCAGATGACTCAGCAGTCTGCTAATGTACATGCAGAAGCAGAAGGGTCTCCCCGGGAGATGGCTAGCTGCTCATGAAATAGCTCTGCCATAGCTAGATATACCCAGAAGAGTGAATTTCCTCTGGACTGCTCCAGAACTCAGGGAAAACCAAAAGGGGAGCTGAGATGAGTCAAATGAACCAAACAACTCCAGTCTGGCAGCACAAATTTCCTTTTCTCCTTTTCACCCCATCTCAGCTTCCAACAATCACACAAGCTTGCCTACGACTTTAGTATTCCCAATAGGGCAGGAACCAGAGGAGAAACAGTAGAAAAACAGGTGTGGGGAGAGGGATTCCACTGACAGCACCTGAGAAATACATTGTAGCAATGCTATACCCAGAGCAGATGCCCAGAGATTAGCACAACTAATTTTTAAATTGACCCCAGAGGCAGTGCACAGTTTCTCACTTGCCTGCAATTCAAGTCCGTGAAGATAAGTAGCTACCGACGTCAGGAAACCTCTGGATCTTTACAGTTTAGGAAAGACTGTAATTCTTTCCTCATAGACTTCAAGCTAGCTGTACCTTATCAAAATTCAGTGCTCCGAGTAAAATAAATATCTTAAAATCACAATCTAGGCAGGAGTGACGCACCGGTGTGTCTACCCAGGATGCCATCTTGGCTCCTTCCTTAAGGAAAGCTGTCTTCCAAATAAGGTTAGGGTGTATCTATTCTATATCATAGACTTGCATTGGTTCAATATTGGTTTCCTCTCCTGGAAAGCAGAATTTTGTGAGTGGTGCTAAAGGTCTCTGTCCTGCATGAGGAGTGTGACTATTGTATAATGCCATCTCCAAACTATAATTCCCAAGTCTGTAACAAAGATACACCATCTGTGTTGGTGAAAGTGGTTCTAGATGAGTGATGGATCTATAGGGTTACTGGATTCTGTAATCAACAGTAGTGTTTTAACTGTTACGTAAAATAAGTGTCAGTATTTTTTTTTGTCCTTGGAAAAATGTAACAGATGATTTTGTGAGGGTTACATAGTTTTAATTTACAGAGTATTTTTCTGCCGTGCTGTTTCACAAGATGGAGAGAAAACACTGAATATCTGAACCACCGTCTGATATCCTGAACACACCACAGTTCTTTGGCAAAAACGTTACAAATATAGGAGGAAATTCCAACTAAAGCATTTCATATATTGATTGCCTTTGTATTGATCAAACACTGCTCTTATTTGTAAAATAAGGGTTGTCAACTGATCAGGGGAAAAAATTGCTTGAATGGTTTTTGTGTGTATGTTTTTGTTCTGAGGGTAGGTGCCAGAAAAGCTGTGGGCATGGCCAGTTCTTTTTTACCTGGAACATTTTTTAGCTGTACACCTTAGGTCCCATGTGGGTCTGAAGGAGAAGTCTATCAGTTTTAGGAGGGTCTGTGGCCAAAGCTAAGTATTTAGTCCCTTCAGAAAAATTGGGCTTTATCAACAGACCCTCATAAACTGCTGGTCCCCCCACCGCCAGATGGCTCTTGCCTTCCCTTCCAGCCCCAAATGGACCATTTCCTGGTACAAGAATGTTGGGTTCTGGTACATGTTTCTGGTAGAAATAACTTTGTAAAGAGCTGCTGTTGCAATTCCTGTTTCCAAAGGAAGCTTCTAAATTCTAAATGTAAAATATTGCTGTAAACGAAAGATGCATATCCATGGAAAGGAAATACAATTCATCATCTTGTTAGTCCTAGTGCCTCATATTATACAGCTGTATGTGTATACATTTTATAAATACAATATAAATATTACTTTAATTTTTAATATGAATTTTATTTCTTTCAGCATTATCTTTTGATAGCTGGAAAGCATCATGTCCCGCAGCTAAGGTAATGTAAGAAGCTGCACCTGTAAAATCATAGCTTGTAAGTGAATTGCTCAGATACAGGTCATTCCTTAGTAGGGCAGTGGCTAATACTAGTTGCCTGTCATGATACTGAATGAAGTTCGCAGATGAACACAGAAGAAAAATGAGAGCTTTGTAGGTGGATAATAGAGAGATGCAATTTGTAAACTTTTTCAGCAAAACACCCTTTACTGCGCAATAAAAAGTATATGTAGCTGGTCCAGATCTAGGCCAGTCAATTTATCTCTCCGCTCCCTTTTGCTGTGAAGAACATTTGGAATTATGCCTACATTCCTGCATTCAGGGTCCTCATGCCTGCTTCTGGCTGCTTCTGAAGTTCAGCAAGATGGGGATTTTGATGTTGGGAGGTCTGATTCTCTTGCTGTGGATGGGCAGAGCTTGGGTGCACTTCGGGAATCACTTCTGGTAGCTCTGGTAGCTCTTTGTTGGGTCTTCCTAGGGCTATTACATGTTGGGGAAATGGTGTGACAGGAGGAGGGGATTAACCTTTATGCTGGGCTACTGTCTATAGGGCTCTGCCTTAGAAGAATGTTTGGAAACTTTAATTCATACAAAATGCGGGAGTGAGGGAGCACAGAAACCTGTGCTGAGAGATTTGAAGCAGGTTTTCAAAAACTATATTAAACTTTGGCTTTAAAGTCCTGAATGGCTCTGGCTCAGTTTACCTTAGAAAATGTCTTCTTCCTCTTGAGCTCCATCTCTGTACACTCAGCGCCCAATTGCACATCACAGAGTTCCCGGGTCTGCCCTGGGCCTTGTCAAGATCAGATGGATGCATACTTCTGTGTTCTACTGGTGCACCTAAATTTTCCTAGCAAAGCAAACCAGTGTCCTGAGGTTGTGACAGGCTGAGAAAACAACAAGGCGGGGGTGTTAAGCTCCTCTTCACGCCACAGTCCTCATCTGAATCAAGCCTCAACATGCCTGAGAATTAAATTTCGAGAATCACTGGGAGCTTCAAACATGGAACTCCCATCACACATTTGATTTTGAGAGTGCCCAGGAATTTGTGATGGGTAGCTGGACCACTGGTTGCTGATGACTAAGTGTAGGAATATTTATACTAATGGGTGTTATAGACCTGGTCTGACTGAAGAGCTTGTTCTAGGAAACTTGTAGCGTACATCTGACGTGTTCCATTCTCCCAGTGTCCTTGTTCTAACTACTGGAAAATTCTTCCTTGTTTCACAGGTTATCAGAGAGCCAGATGACTGGAGCAGTTCCAATCATGTTTCATCAACTCTTGAAATGGAGGGACCTCTTGATTACTCGTGCAGTGGTTCCACATTTGATCACAAAGCATCGTTTAGCCCCCCAAACTGTTATCGATCACTAAGTCCCATTGGGAAATGGGAATCCTCCGAACAGAGGTTATCACTAGTCGATCATTAAGTGCAGGGCTTGGCTGGTACTTGGCTGGCACCAGCAGGTGACCCACAGTGAAGAAGAGCCCATCAAAATGGCTGCTGGTTGCTGCTGTTACTGCTACTCATCCTCATTATTACCGGGACTGGCAAATGGCCCCATGGGGAAACTGAGAAGATTGAGCAGGCTGACCTGAGATAGAAGTGGTGGTCACTGCACAGGAGTGGTGAGGAAACCACCAGCGTGATTTCTCTGGCAGCAGGCAGATGTCCTCTCACTGTTGCCAGATGAACCTGTAGTCAGGGCAGTGGGTGACTGCTTCATATTGCCATGGGCTGAAGCAAGCTGATGACCGCCTGCTTCCTCAATTGAGCCAACAGCAGCATTCTCTAGTTCTCCCACCAATGACAGCAGAGACTGCAGCTTTACTGAGTCTGGCCTTGTTGAGGAAGTGCCATCCGGTTGCCATAACATCCAGGCTGATGATTTCCCCCCCACTGCTAGATGGTGACTGTACCTTCTTCACTATGGCCCTGTCTGTCAGTATGGAGGGGAAACATGCCCAGTTCTAAAGCAGCCAGGCCAGTGCATTCCTCCCCAAGGTCACGAGGGAGCATCCGGTAGAAAAACATATAATGGGTTCTGGGGAGAGGTGAGGAGAGCAAGGAACAGCTGCTGTCGCCATAGCATATATGCACACGAGTGCCAGGTACTCTGCAGATGATGCAGATTTGTCTCTCATAAATCACTTTATGTGAGGCTTGATGGGACTCTGTGGAGGACTGCTCATTCTGAGAGTTCCTTCCTAGCCACAATCCCTCTTGTTCCTTCTGTTCCATGCTGACTGGATGCAGTGCAATGATGCTGATCCAGGGAGATTAAGAAAAATAACTACACAGATGAGCTGAGATCTAGGCAGGTCCCATAAACAATCCTGACCTTGTGATATAAATAGCTCAACAGATCAGAGAGAATTCCGTACATCTGAATCCCTTTGCCATTGCCTTGCAAAAGAGGCACTTTGAGATGCATGGTCAGCGCTTTGGCGAAAGTTGACCTTCTGAGCAGAATGGTGCCATTTGTTGTCGATAGTCGCAAGAAGAGTCATTTTGCTGTTTTTTCCTGGTCCTACAGTGTACAAGATAGAGGTCAAAGGCTGAAACAGTTTTTTTGCTGTCACTTTTGCTGGCTTTCAATGGGGCTGTTGACGAAGAACTCTATAAACAGCCACGTTATCCATGCCACAATTAAGATTGTCTCACAGAAATGGCATCATCCTGGCATTTTGGAGAGGGAAATATCAAAGTTGCTCATTTTGCCTCAGCCAAATGGCAATCAAGTACAGATAGGGTTCAAGCATTTAGAAATGAAGTTTTTCTGTGACTCTGAGCTTCTGCCAGGATCGTGCTCATACTACAGATTTCCTCTCCCTTCTGTTACTTCTTGTGGTGCACGAAGGGTTCCTCTTGACCAGAAGCTTCAGGGGAAAAGGAAGAAACATGTAACTCCTGTGGGAAAGGGAGCTCTTGAGCTCAGGAACCCCCTTTCCCATAGCAGTCACAAATCCCTTCCCTCTCCCTGAATCCACTCCAGAAGGCCATGAGACCCTTAGGAGGAGTCCTTCGTGCACCACAAGAAGCTGCTGAATGGAAGAGGTAACATGTAGCTCTTGGGTAGATGCATGATGCTGTTTGGATCCTGGCCTGTTCCTTCATTGGTATCTTCATGAGGCTTTTTGAGAATATAAATGGAATCTGAGCGCATCACAAGGCCTTCGTTCAGCACAGTTTTCACCATGTACCTCATGTCCTTTTGATATTTGAGGTTTAAACCAGTTTCTGCCTTTCTGCCTGTAATGCAAAGGTTTACGACACCCTGATTAAATAACAGTGCTTGACATGATGGGGCTGTCTGTGAGGTAATTTAAAGCATATCATCATGAGTCTCATCATCTAACATTTTTCAGGTTGTACTCCAGCCCCAGTGCCACCTGGGAGGAGATTAATGAGAGAGTGAGGAATCTTTTAACTTCAGAGGAGGCCAAGCAGAGACTATTCCGCGTGAGTATGATGCACTTTCAGAAGAGCTGCTGCTGTTGCTGCTTAAGTTTTAGCAGCCGCCTTTCTTACACTTTCTTTCCACTGGCTCCTGATGTATCTTGCCTCCCTCAGCAGGTAACCTGCAGAGTAAAGAGAAGACTTTGAATACAGCATAAGTTCTAGGTCTCTTGACAGCTTGTTCCACCCCCACCCCACAAGTAATCACAGAGGCTATGAATTTGGTCATACCTGGGGTGGGGGAGACAGGTGCTTTAACCCTTTCCTCTCAGGCTGTTTTCCCAGTCAAGATTCTATCCATCTGCTTTTCTGCTTTTACCATGCAGAAAGGAAAGCAGCTGGAGGGCAATTTTGATAAGAGAGATTAGAGACTGCGGTCACACGCATCAGTTGAAGTGGAGGGGAAGCAAGGCTATTCCCTCCAGAGGAATTTGACATGCAGTTGCAAGATCACACCTCCCTCTGTAGGTGCAGGTGCAGTCCGTCACTGTGTGATCAGGTGCAACTGCAGGTGAGTCGGGTTTTTTTGCCATTTGTTTCCCATGCGCATAAATGAGGAATCGCACCTCTGCACTGAGGGCCCCCTATGGAGTATGTGATGATGCGCATATTGCGGGGGAGGGGGGAAACAGCACTGAGCCAGGATGGCCTGATCAGACCATCCCGATGGGTTGAGAGCGTGCGTGCGCAATTAGACAGGGAAAAGTCCGTCTGTGGCCCGTCGGAACCTTTTTACTACCGGACTTTCCCCGGTGTCTTTTAACTCCGCTTCCGTGGCAGAGCAGCACGGGTTGCTGACGACTGCAGGACAGTTCACAGATGTTGCTGTCTGATCACTCCCTTTAGATCTGTCAGGCATTTGCACCAATGCCGGATCTAAAGGCGTGTGTGATCGCAGCCTAGAAACATGTTAAAATAGCATTTCCTTGAATAAATAACCGATTAAAAATAAGTATAATGTTATTTCAGTACAGGCAATAATGTGACAATATTTTGTGAAGTGAGTAGCCCCTTTTAAGGAACTGTGGATCTGATGGTTTTTACAATATGAAAGCAATTCTTCCTCCCATCGGACTGCATAGCTCACTTTTTGTCTCTAACTCTTAGACTCTCCTAAAGAGACCTTTCTCTGCTCATAAATTGTTGTGAGAGTTTCATGTCTGCCTTTATAATGTCGGTGATACGCTTTGTTTGAATCAGAATCTGCTTTCACTCACTAATTTCAAACATTCTGGGAGACACAGATCTATGTGAGTTAACCCAAACTGACACTACTTGCTGTTGTCCCTCTAAAATGATATTCTCCTAATGAACCTTAATAGAAACGTGCTGTGACCGACAAAGCTGCAAAGGACAGAGGAAGTGCCATACATCAGTTCTTCTTGAACATGTAGTGATAAGCTGTTTTAATTAACCTAGAACACCTGATGTATTTGTTTTTAGTTGGGCACATTTTTCAGTGCTGATGACGATGAACAACCAAGCTAACAGGACAAGTATTTTGCAGGGAGCCACGGATTCTGAGATTGATGATGTCCTTGAAAGAAGGTCTGTCTCTTTGAGGTCTTCCCCACTGTGTGACTCACTAGGACAAAGATACTTTTCATAGCTGTCATTGGCAAGGTATGCAGCTTTAAAGGCCTTCTTTTTATTTAAGGGAAAGTATTAAAAAGGAGGGTTACAAGGTATTAAAAAGGATAATAACAAAAAAAGACCCAAGAAGGCTACAAACATCGGAATACATGCCTGTAAGAGAAACTGTTACAAAAATATTCTAGGCAGCCATATTTCTTGAATGTGTAGGTGCTCCAAAGTCAAGCTAAGATTCAAAGTCAGTTGAAGGTGACTTTATGGATTACTAAGGATGTTCAAGTGTTGCTTTATTTAGATCCTTTTAGTACTTTTACCTCTGGAAAGCACATGATTAAAGAGAACTATGTCACACTGAATTCTGGGACTTCAGCGTGGAATCTTGAAGGTCCAAGTTGAGTTCGGTGGGTGGGAGGGCAAGCTTGGATTATTGAATAGGTATGTTGCTGTTCCAAGCAATTAAATCCTATTGAGTTCAGTCCAAACAAATAGACTGAGGGTCATTACATTAGTCCTGTAGTATAATAATAGGGGAAACTAGACCTGCCAAGCTTCTACCTCACCCGGGAGCCTTAAAACAAGTACAAGCCGTTGCCTGGATCCAGAGGGGCAACTGTGTATTTGACCAATAAGATATGCAGTTTTATTGTGTGCTGTCTTGAATAACTGTGGACTGAAAGGTGCTCCCTCTGTTTGCATACATAAATAATTTTGTTATTTGATTCTTTTAAAATTAAATTTGTAAATTGTTTCTGCACATAGAACAGTAAATATAACAAACCCCATGTAACCCTCTACCACCCCTCCTTCCTCCACCTCTTCCCCAACATATCCCATTATCAAGAGAAGAAAGGAGAGAGAGAACGAGCTGCACACACAGATAGCCGAGAGCAGAGATTTTTTTAAAAAGGCATGTGTGGGGGGGAGAGGCTCCAAAATAGATCCAGCCAAACAAGGAATAAAGAAAGTGAGGCATCACTGCTCAAAGCGGGTTCTGTGGATTCCTTTGAAAACTGACATAGCCATGAAGATTCCTCAGTGGTTGCTTCGACACAGAGGTTTTGCTCTGAGATATTTGGGAGAATTCATACAATGTCATCCCCCCACTCATCCATTCTCCATGTTCTTCTCTGCT